TGGAATCTCTGAGGGGTACAAGCCAAGTGTGGTGAGTGCAGGGAGCACCCCCACCAGCCTCCCTGATCCCCAATGCAGAGCCCAGCGGGCGCCCGTCTGTCCAGTGCCGGGTGAGCAGCCTGATTACCCCCGCGGGCAGTGGCGCCCCCTGCTGTCCACAGACCTTGACCTACACCCTCTTTCCACTCCACACGGGTTTGGAGCCCCGCGCGGTGAGCGGGAAAGAGCCAGGGTGAGACTTTTGGAATTATCAGCGTCCCCCCCACCCTGCCCCCACGCCCGGTCCCACGCTGCCTTTTATTTTCCTCTGATAAGAGGTTTTCCTAAGCGTTGGGGACTTTCCTGGCCCCGAAGAGAACGGATGAGGGAGAAGAGGCCTCTTTGGTGGAGCGCTGCTGCCCCCTGCTGGTGACTGCAGACACGACCACAGAGCCGCGCGTCCCGGTCCGGCTCAGCTCAGCGATGCCCCCCTCGGCCGCCCTGCTGGCTCCTTAAATGGGGAGACGCCCATCAGGGCCACCCCCACCCCCAAACTCTCAGCCTCGGCAAAACCAGTCCAGCACTGGGTGGCCCCTCCAGCTCCTGCGGCGGTGCCCGGACGCCTGCAGCCTGCGTCCGCGCCGTGCGCCGATGATGCCCGTGACTTGGGGTCCCCAAGTGTTCATAAGCAAACGTTGATCCAGAAGGGAGAGTTTGTTCTTAGGGCTTGATTTGAAGCAGAGGGCAGAAGAGGGGCGGGCTGGGAGGGGGGTGTTTCTATGGCGAGGAGTGCACCCCCCCCCACCTGCTCCTGGGCGTGGGCGCCCCCCTCCCTGCGCACCTGCGGTGACGGGGCGGTGTAACGGCTCAGCCGGCTGGCGCGGCACGTGGCCTGCAGCGATGCTATCTGGGCCTCGGTATTTTTAACCCTTCTTTCCAGAGGAAGTGGCTTCTGCGGGAGAGCTTCAAAGGGCGCCCTACTTGCAGCCCTGACGTCATGGAAATGGGAGGGGGGCGTTCCAAGCCCCCAACACCTGGAGGGAAGTGGGACACTTTTTCCACTTCCTGCCCCACTTCTGGCCACAGACTCGACGTCTGACCTCGTTATTAATGTCAAAATGCGGCTCTCCGTGTGTCGCTTACAGGAACTTTCATGCAAGTGCTGGAGCCCGTGAAATGAAGTCTGAAAACCAGGTGGTCTTGCAGGAGGTGGCTCAGGAGATTCCCATAGCCACCCTCCTGGTGGCATATTTCTGACTCAGCACCACATGGGGGTCTCTATGCCTCTGGTTCCCCACCCCTGCCCCTGCCCCACCCCTGCGGACCTGCCCAGCTGCCGGCCAGAAGTGCATCTTCCGGTTCATTGCCCCAGAGGTAGATTTTCCCAGGAGGAAATGTGAAGCAATAAGGTGACCCATCACGTGCCTTTGGACCTTGGTGTGTTCCCTGGTGACCCACCTCTGATGTCTTCCCAAAGTGCTCATCTACCCCCTCCTTTCCTGCATGAGTTCCTGTGCCTGCCAAGCCTTCAACTATTGGTTTTCCTGCTTGTTCTTATCTGGGTTTTCCTTAGCTCTTGGCCTCACGGTGAGACAGGGGCTCCTTTAGCTGCTCCTGTAGAAGTCTCCTCTCTCTGTGCTCTTACACTCACCCCTCCACCCCGTTTCCCTCTCCACTAGACTGATGCTGGCTCATTCATGGGTCAGGCCTCAAGTCAAGAGTATGTTTTAAAGTGTCTCTGTGTGCCGACTCTTGACCGAGTGCTTCACGGCAGGAGTGGATTTTGCTGCCTAGTTACCTATCATTCAGGTGATATTGCAGAAGGACTTTGCATGTGGCCCTAGAAGAGGGGAGTGAATGGACAAGAGGGGAAGATAAGGCCCCTTCAGCACTGCCCCCTGTGGCCCTATGGAGAATGTGGCCAAGGACCCGGGTTGGAGCTCAAGGCTCTTCCCTGATGTCTCTGAGGAACACTCATGCTTAGCCTGCCCTTCTCTTGCTGGGACTGTGGCTCCAAGTGCATTCACAGGGTAGGTCTCTGTGTGAGGTGTCTGAGAATCCTCTAGAAACTATGCTGGACTTATGTGATCCATTCTACATCCAGGACTGGCCTGCAAGTAAACCTGGGAAAGAGACTTTCCTTCACTGTTGGTGGGAATGCTGACTGGTTCAGCCTTTTTAGAAAACTATATGGATGTTTCTCAAAAAACTAGAAATTGAATTCCCATTTGACCCAGCAATACTACTTCTGGGAATATACCCTGGGGGCCCCAAAACACAGCAGAAACACCATCTGCACTCCAATGTTCATTGCATCACTATTCACCATAGCCAGAATCTGTAAACAACCTAAGTGCCTGAGAACAGATGAATGGATAAAGAAACTATGGCACATTGACACTATGGAATAGTATGCAGCTGTCAGGAAAAAAATGAAGTCATGAAATTTGCCTGTAAATGGATGGACATGGAGAGTATCATGCTGAGTGAAATGAGCCAGAAGGAAAAGGATAGATATAGAATGACTGCATTCATTTGTGGTATATAAAAATTATATATTGTAGAAGACTAATATCCATGGCCAGGGAAAACAGGGGTTAGGAGAACTGATCAGTGGTTGGAACTAAACCACAAGTGGCTGAGGCTAGGTAAGATAGAGGATAGACCGCTATGATAATAGTAGCTGGGAATGATCACGCTGGACATGATCTGAGGGATGAAAGTAGGTACGGGATAGTCTTGATAACCTTTCAGTATCGATATTGCAAACCACAATGCCCCAAAGGAGAGAGAGACAGAGGCCACAGAGGCAGGTAGAGGGTGGGGAGTGGGAGGGTGATGGGAGGGAAACTGGGGACACCGGTGCTAGGAAATATACGCTGGTGGAGGGATGGGTGTTGGAATACTGTATGACTGAACCCAATCATGAACAGCTTTGTCGTGGTCTATCTCACAGTGATTCAATTAAGAAGAAGAAAAAAAAGTAACCCTGGGGGTGTAGTTGGGCCTAATCTCAGGAAATACCTGCTCTGCTCCCTGGTGACTGCCCTGCAGCGCCTTCTGACCTCCTGAGGTCAGGGGATGGGGCCCTTTCGGCCAGCAGCCAGCGTCTTCTGATGGGCTTGATTAAGGCAGGTCTGCCGGTTTCCTCAGCAGCTCACCTGATTACCCCCCAACCCAGCCAGCTCTTCCCTTCTTGCCCCCAGGCTCTAGGCCAACCCTCCTAGTGAACACAGGGGTCCTTCTAGAAACCCCTTCATGAGACACTTGAGTTTTCTCTGACACCCAGATGGAGCCAGAGTCAGTGTGAGGATGAGTGGACCAAGACTGTGCCCCCTTTAACACCTCTACAACCACTTTCTCCTGACTCAGCCTTGACTGAGGTTTGTAGAGCCCTGCTTTCTGATGGACGCTTCTCGGGGAGTGGTGCTGCCCCATTTTCCAGATGGTTCTTACCTACCGGAGGCCTCTCCCCTGAGCCCCAGCTTAGAATGTTCTGGGAGAAGCGTCTCCCCCTGCTAGGCCTGGGCCATGCCTGCCTTTGCAAGTCACATGTCGGTCCCTGCTGGCCTGAGCCCGGCTCTGCCTTTGGTCCTGGTGGGACTTTCAGGCTCCCTGACCCTGTCGGTTGGAGCTAAGTCTCTCCGCTGCCTCCCCGGCCAGACTCTCGCTTGGGCCTTTTGTGTAGATACCAAAGTTACCGCTGTCGGAGGGAAACAGAGAAACTAATTTGTCCAAGTTTTTAACAGTTGAGAAAGTCTTGCTCTATTAACCCTCCCAGAAGCATGATCATTTAATCGGAGAAGAGATGCTTTAATGAAAAGAAATTCCCAGGGGTGGGATCCCCGCCTGCACGTGTGAGGCTGATGAGGCGCAGCTCCGGGACCCCTGCAGGTGGCAGGACCCGCTTTGGGGAAGGTGGAGCCTGTCGCGTGTGTGCCTGTGGTGGCGGGGACGGGATTCCGCCAAGACCTTCCCATTTGTCATCAGTCCAGGGACTTGTCTTTAGGCTGACGGTGGGGTGCTTCCAAGAAAACAGAGGTTTCTGCGACCCTTGGTAGGGCTGAATGGGGCCTGGCTACTGAGTCTTTGGTCTCCGAGGTCCTTGGTGGCGGAGCTGGAGATGCCAGTAGTCCCCCTTGCCATCATATAGGGGATGACCTGAGCTCATGGAAGGGAGGGAGAGGTCTGGGCCACCTCTGGAGCAGCGAGAGTAAGCAGCAGAGGACTTAGAGTTGGAGGATTTGGGGCTTCTGGCCGGAGGAATCAGTCACAGAGGGGAGCCATGAGGGTTTGGGGTGACAGCCCTCTCCCCGCTCTGGGATGTGAAGTGCTGACTTTTTCTTGGCCGGGGGTCAGGCTCAGATGAATGCATGGTCTCTGAGCCCCGTGTCTCTAGGCTGAGCCCAGGAGAAGCTCAGGGCCTGTGCTCTGGGCGGTGCCTGGATTCATCCTCTCTCTTTGGCCAGGTCCCTGGGTTTCAGGGACACAAACCCATCTCCCCTTTCCATCTGGCGGGGTTGCATATGAAGTCTGGGTGGGGCCACAGTTTTCTCCCCCACCCCACACCTAGATCTGGGACTCTAGGGTGGGACTCAGCGGGGGGGAGTGGTGGGTGGTCCCTAATGGGAAATGTGTGGGAATTCAGTCCAAAAGGCAGAAGAAATGTGCCTGGAGGGCAAGAGACAGTGGGTGGCATTGGGGGGGGGGAGGGCAACTTCCTGCCAAGCCCCAACTACAGGGCATTACCACCCCTGGCTAGGGGCCTCTTGCTCTGGGTGGCCCAGCGGTGTGGCATGCACACAGAAGAGCAGGGACCAGGCTTTCAAGTGGCTTTTGCTGGCCCCCAACCCCAGTGGAATTTTTAAGAAGAGGTTGACTTAAGCCGCCTGTTGGGTTAGGTTCCCCAAAGGGCATCGTAGACAAATGTCTTGGTTTCTTTCTGCCCAGCTCATGGTCATCAACAAACAGAAAATGACCCCCTGCATGCCCAGTCAAACAAGGAGCACAGACTCAGCATTTGCAATCGCTTTTAATGAAGCCGTGGGTAGCTGTATATACAGTGTGGCTTGGTTACAGAGCAAAGCAGGACCTAGGTTACGAGACCATTGCCCCCACATCTTGGGGGAAAGGAAGATAGAGATTTCTTTATGAACACTGTTTAAACAAATACAAGCTCCTTAGAGCGTTCTCCAGGCACTCGGGTGTGGGAACTGGGGAGCTGTCACCTCCTGGTCTTGGGATGAGGGGTGGGATGAAAAGAGAGATTGTCCACTGCCCCGAGGAGGTGGCCCCGGCCCACAGTTCCCAGCTTGTGCTGGGAACAAGCAGCAATGAGGGAACAGAGCGGGCGGCAGCAGTGTGTGAGGAGCTCTTCAGCCTCGACGGCAGGTGGTCTGTAGGGTCCGTTGGTGGCAGTGACAGTGGCCCTGAAAGGTGGCTTCTTGGCTTGAAGAGGCGAGAGGTGATAGAGGAAGTCGGGAGCCAGGGCATGGGACTCTCACAGTCTTGGTGACCTGGAAGGAGGAAGAGATGCAGTCAGGTTGCATACCAAGGTAGAGCAGGGTGGCAGGGCTGTGTGCTCCCGAGACTCAGGGCCTTCTCTGAGGGGGGTGGGAAAGGCAGTGCTCCGATACCGCCCAACATGCCCAGGAGAACACTGGGAGAGAAGGGCATACGGACTTGCTCTAGGACTTGGGCGCCACAAGAAGAAAGGAAGTGGGGGGGGTGCTGGAGCTATAGCACAGTGGGTAGGGCATTTGCCTTGCACGCGGCTGACCCGGGTTCGATTCCCAGCATCCCATATAGTCCCCTAAGCACCGCCAGGAGTAATTCCTGAGTGCAGAGCCAGGAGTAACCCTTGAACATCACCAGGTGTGACCCAAAAAGCAAAAAAAAAAGTGGGGGTGCATGTGGAAAGGAATTGGGGTCCCTTAGGTGTTTCAGTGAAAGGGAGCAAGAGAAGGCGGGGAGGCGTCTGCTTGTGGAGCATCCCTGACAAGTGCATGAGGGGGTTGCGTGGCCTTCACGTGACCTGGCCTCAGCTGCTTTATTTATTAGGCCTGAGAGGGGGAGACAAGGCTCACAGAGGTGACAGCAGAGACGATTAGATAATACAACCCGCCCCCCTCAGCCATTGTTAGCTGGAGAGGGTCTCCTGGGTGGGGATGGTGGTGGCAGGTTGAACGAGTGGGCTGGACCTAGGACCCCAAAGCCAGGCGATTGATGGTGGTCATGGGGGAGCTGCCTTTAAAGCTCTGGGACTCATCCCCAAGACCCTTATCCTGCAGCTGGAACCATAGTACAGCAGGTAGGGCATTTGTCTTGTTTCCAGCCAACTGGGGTTTGGTCCCCCGCATCCTATATGGTTCCCTGAGTAATTCCTAACTGTGGAGCCAGAGGTAACCCCTGAGCATTGCCGAATATGACCGCCCCTCCCCCCCTCCCCCCAAAAAAGACAGATCCTCGCCCCTCCCCTCACCTCAGCAGGACCAGAGCCGTAGTGTCATCAGCAGGTTGAAGCCGGTTACTTTGAGAAAGAGGATGCGGAAGGTGACTACCAGCAGGTTCTGGAAATTCAGGTTCCAGTCTGCAAAGAAATTAAATATTGAGGGTTGTTGCAGTGAGAGGCACAGGTGCCCGATCCCTCCAGCTCCCAGGACACTCTTGTGCCTTTCCCCACCGCAGGACAGGCTCCGGCTCCCGCCCACCCTCCCTTTGAGCCTCCATGCACTAGAAACTCATCCCTGAGTTATGCACGGTGCTCTTAATTCAAAAGGAAAACACCGGCTATACACTTAGCCCTTCTTCTGCTTTTGTGTCTCTCAGGGGACAGGGTGGGAGTCTCAGGACTTAGCACTGTTCCTGGGAGCGGGGCCCCTTTCGGAGGAGTTTTAGGCTGAACCAGCCCTACGAGGGATGGCGCAGTGAAGATGGCTGAATTCTGAGTGGGGGGTAGGTGGAGGCGGGGGAGGCATGCAGAGACCTCCCTAGAGGCAGAATCAGTGCCGGGGCGGTGATTCCTGCTGCTTTCTGCCAAGGAAGGCAACGCGCCAGCTGTGTGGAGGACGCGGCTTCAGGAGGAAGAAGCCAGATGGAGGGTCAGAGCTGGGCGCCCAGAAGTTTCTCTTTGCCTCTTGTGACAGTGGGGTGACTGACAGGAACAACAGAGGCCGGGGTGTGAGTCCCTGGAGCCAGAGCCTGGGGCCGCAGCCTCCCAGCATGGATCGGGAGAGGACGCTGGGGGATTCCACAGAGTTCCAGGCCCTTTGAGCTGGCCCGTTGAGTTCCACTGCTCCTCACAGCACAGCTAATCGTCCTGTTCTTCCCCACTGCCCCCACCTGCCTGTCCCCTCCTGCCCAAACCTGAACAGAGCCAGAGGGACCCTTCTCTTCTTACCTGTTTGAAAATTTTTCTCTACCAATGTGGCATTGCAGGAAAGGCCTAAAGGAAGAAGCAGAGACATTGGCTTAGAACCCTGATGGGGCAGTCCTCACTGCCTAGGCCTCCCGGCGGCTATTGGAGCTGGGGTCTTGAGCTGAGGACTCCTGGGGTCTGCCCCCAGGCCTGGGGAACCACTGGCCCTGGCAGACTCCCATTGCGTTCCAGTGATGGAACCATTTCACTCAGTCAGCCAGCAAGATTGTGCAAAGTCCCTGTTCCCTTGCCCTAGGGGACGCTTCAATCTGGAGTTGGGTAGGGGAATGCAAACGCTTTCGTGTGTTCCCAAGGCTGTGATCCCTGCACCCCCAATTTGTCCCTTTGTTTTCTCTGACTCAGCAGATGGCTCCCTCATGGGCCCTGCGGGTCAGACGTAAAATCCCGCTGCCTTTTTGAGCTTCTCTGCTCCCTCTCAGTCCCGCGAAGTTCTCGACCTTTGAATCCCAAAGGCCATTGGCTGCTCAGCCCTTCTCCACTGCCTGCCCAGGCTTTTCTGTTCTGATCTCTCCCTGCTAGAGCTTCCTTTCTGCCCCCACCCTGGCTCGGGGCATCCCCTCCCCACTGCAGTCCACGATACTGTAATCTCCTGCTTAATGCCGGTCTGACCTGGGGCTTCTCACTGTGCTTAGGAAGAGTCTGATCTGCGGGGCCCGATGCTCTGGCCCTGGCCTTGTTCTTCCTCTGTGCTCCCTGTCTGCTGCGGTTCTGCCTTCTCACTCTGCTCTTGTTCCGGGCCTCCAGCGGGGCCCCTCTGCCCTCAGCACGGCTGGTACCTTTTGACCCTGTTAAAATCCCGACTCAGACAGCCTTTTCTCCAGAGAGCCCTTCTTCCCTGACTTTTGATCCGAGATGGATGGTTTCCTGAACGCCGCGTTAAAGCTTCTATTGCAATCGGAAATGATCTAGCTCTCCCCTACGTGCCGAGGGTCTCCTCTGCCCCCCACTAGAATGGGGTTTCCTTATGGGCTGATTCTTCATCCGACTAGTTTATGTACATTCATAATCAAAGGGGGGCTTAAATGCATGACTGACTGAGGTGGGGGCCTGGGAAAGCTCAGGAGTTGTGTGTGTGTGTGTGTGTGGGGGGGTGATGTTGGCTATTAAGAAGGCAATTGGAATAGTCCAATACCAGAAATCAGGGACCTGGAAGAGGCCTGGTGTCGGGGCTTCATCCCGTGAGTCAGCAAAGGGACTGAGAGCTGGACAGAGGCGGGCTGGCAGGAAATCTGTCCCACATGGGCCCAGTGCCTTTCCCTGTCACTGTCTCTGCTCTGGTTTCCAAACAGGACTGTCTGTGGCCTGCTAGAACGGGGTTCTCAGGTATTCAATAAAATGAGGCTGATGGTAGTGGTGGTAGTGTTGGGTCGGGGGAGGAGGGGGAGCTTTGTTGCTGACAATTTGTGAGGTTGAGACCCTCATATTAGAGCTTCTTTTTAGATACCATTGATGGGAAGCCAGGAGAAGGAGGCTGTGTGGGCACAGAGGCTGCACCCACCTGAGCTGGAGTAGAATGGCACAGTGAAGGGTTCGCTGCAACTGAAACTGGCAGTGTTGTCCCAGGCCAGGACTCCGTTGCTCTTGGACTCTGTGCTCTTCATGTCCAACACAGTTGTGTTGGTGCTGAACATCCCGTACTCTTTCTTTATGACAGTCGTATTAGAAACAAAGTCAGTGACTAGGCAGACGGTCATGTTGCTGGTTTTAGATTTTGTCAACTGGTACACGGCGGGTTTAGGATCCTTGATATCTGTAGGCCAAAAGAACTGGTGTTAGCAGCTGCTCTGATTTCCCTCCTGTCCCCAGCCCAGGCCCATGTCCTGATGCCAGCCACGGGCAGAGCTGAGCTGCTCACCACAGAACAGGGCTCAGGGACAGACCTGGCTGCAGAGGTCAGGCTCTCTCCCATTTGACCCAGAAATACTACTCCTGGGAATACATCCCGGAGAGGCAAAAAAGTACAGTCGAAATGACATCTGCATTTGTATGTTCATTGCTGCACTGTTCACAATAGCCAAAATTTGGAAAAACCCTGAGTGCCTGAGAACAGATGACTGGTTAAAGAAACTTTGGTACATCTACACAGTGGAATACTACACAGCTGTTAGAAAAGATGAAGTCATGAAATTTACATACAAGTGGTTCTACATGGAAAGTATCATGCTAAGTGAAATGAGCCAGAAAGAGAGGGACAGACATAGAAAGACTGCATTTATCTGGGGAATATAAAATAACAAAATAGGAGACTAACACCCAAGAATAGTTGAGATAAGTACCAGGTCTACTCCAGGGCTTGAAAGCTGGGGGAAAAGGCAGCTCGATAGAGAAGGGAACACCAAGTTAAGGATGTTTGGAGGACTCGCTCGGGATACGAGATGTATGCTGAATGTAGACTATAGACCAAACACGATAGCCACTCAATACCTCTATTGCAAACTACAACACCCTAAAGGAAAGAGTGAGCAAAAGGGAATGCCCTGCCACAGAGGTGGGGTGGGGTGGGGGGGATGGGGTGTGGGGGTGGAAGGGCTACTAGGATCATTGGTGGTGGAGAATGGGCACTGGTGGAGGGATGGGTACTCGATCACTGTATAACTGAAATCCAAGTACGAAAGTTTGTAAGTCTACAACTGTACCTCATGGTGTTTCACTAATAAAAAAAAAATAAATTAAAAAATAAAAAAAGAAGAGGTCAGGCTCTCAGGGAGTACTTCCTGCCAGGTCCTGCTTCTGGTCAAGGACATCAGCCCTCTAAGGCAGCCTAACACTGCTGCTTGTTCTTCTCCTTCATGGGAACTTTGGCCTGGTAGGTGATAGCACAGCTCTGGGAGGTTTGCAAATGGGAAAATGGCCCAGCGATGCAACCCCAACATTTGGGCTGGGCACTGAAGGAATTGGAGAGTTTCCATAGGCCACCATGAAAGAAGTCAGAAGCCACTCCCATCTCCAGGTTCTCTCCTTGAGAAAGGTTTTTGTTTTGGACTACAGACCAGGAGAGGTAGCCCACAGGGACGAGCACATACTTGGCATACAGGAGCCTCGAGTCCCACCCCTGGCCTGGCCTGGTTTGCCCTGAGCACCGCTGGGAGTGATCTTGGAGCACAGGAGCCCCTGAGTCCCAGTGGTGGTGGGGGGGCCCAAACCGAAAACCCAAATAATATATTTAAATCTCTGGATTATAAATCAGAAAGCCCTGCCCACCCCAGCCCTGCCAGGAGACCCTGAGCAAGAGCCACCAGGTCCTGAACTTCATCAGTGACCGGGAGAGGCAGCCTCACCCACCTCCCAGTCTGACACACTGATGAGAGTTTCTCCAAATAAAACTGGGTCTAATCAAAATGAAAGAAAGAGAAAAGAACAAAAGAAAGTATCCGGAGCCCTTGGGAGGGTCAGAGATAGCCAGGACAGTGCCGCCCAGAGTAAGGCAGCCTAGCTTCTCTGCCCTAGGAAACAGGAGTTGGGGTGGGGTGGGGCTTTTCCTCTTGTGCTGGGAACACGGCTCAGTCTTTCCGAAGGATTTGGGGTTTGAATGCACTCACATTGTTTATTCTCTCAGACCTCCTGCCTTTAGAGGAGGAAGCAGAGGTTTGCCAGGGGGATTAACACACTGGGGCCACCCAGAGAGTTTGGGGTGGGTGGGTGGGACTGTAACTTCCTCCCCCTGTGGTTCTCTCCTCCTGCAGCTCCTCACCAGGCAGGAAGGTTTCTCAGACCCACCAGGCACCCCCCACCCCTTTCCTAAACCAGCCAGGGTGGCCCTGGCAGCGCCAGCTGGCCCCGAAGCCAGGGAAATCAGCCCCTTGGCAGACGGGGTGCTGTGTCAGGGCCAAGCTGCCTGTGGTGTGGGGGACGTCTGCAGGAGTGGGAGAGCAGGGGTGGGTCTGTGGTCCCACGTGAAGGACAGTGATGCTTTGTCCTGCCTCACCACCCCCGGGAGGCCTGACATCCTTGTGGGGGAATGACTCAACTGGGAGAGGCAAGCTAGGCCCCAGAGCACCACTTACGTATCATCTCCGTGGATTTGTTAGTTATGGGCGGGCGCTGTGGGGAGGAGCAGGGGGACAACAGGGAAGAACAGGAGAGGAGAGGCTGCAAATAAGGTGCCAGTGGGTGCAGTTTGGCATTTCAGGGGAAAGGGGGTTGCTGTGGGGACCAGAGACAGGAGACCTCCGGAAGTTCCCCAACCTACTTGACCTGCTGCCCCCCCCTTTTCAGAAAAAGACTACACCTATGAAAGCTAACTTCTTTAAACAGAAGGTGTCCCTCACTGCACCTGAATTACCCCCCTCATCCAGGTCATTCTAGGGATTTCCTCAGCCCTGGCGGGAGGAAAAATCATCTGCTTTGGGAAACACGAAATTCTAGACTGTGTTCTGTGATCATTTAGCTATATGTGGAAGGAAAAGTAAAAATTTAGTTAAAAATTCAAACTCCGTTTCAAGAGCGAAATAGTAAGAAGTGCCGGCAGCTCTGGGGAGCGTGGCCTGACAGCACACCTCCGTCATCACTGGAAACATGTATGCAGTGATGCGGCCCAGTAGAGGCCTGGGGAGCACCGGATTGTGAGGAAGGCAGCCAGGCTGAATGTGAGACATAAAAAACCAACTCTGAGTCTGTGGGAGGCTACTGGAGACAGGGCCTATTTTTGACCTTTGCTAGTGAGAGAGAAAAAGGCCACAGCAATAAATGAAGTCACAGGAACTGAGTGCTTTGCAGCTTCTCTCAAGACTCGGGCTCACTGCTGAGTGTGTGCTAGCTCTCCCTCTGCGTTTCTGCTGTTGTTTCTCCGTGCAGCTTCTCTCACTCTCATTTTCAACCTTATCATCTTCCACCCTCTCCGTCCTCCTCTGCCTCTTCTTTGAGTTCATTTTCCAAAGCCTTTGTCTAAAACATGGAGTTGTTCTTGTGCAAAATAATTGAAGGACTCCCTGTGGCCTATAATCTACGGCGCAAGGTTCCTGGTATGACATTCAGGATCATTCATGACCTGGAGAGTTAGGTTTCTTTTTTCAAGTTCGGAGAGCCGACACCCAGAGGTATGGGGGAAACCCTGTGGTGCTGGGTATTAAATCCAGGGATCTCACATGCCAAGCATGTGCTCAGAGCCATCTCCCTGGTCCATAAGTCCTTTCTATGTCCTCTCTGTGAGTACAACTATGTCAAACTCTTTCTCTTGGCCACCTGAAATGTGAGCTGTGACTGCAAAGGTTTACCTTTGGCTCACTGCTATTTCCCTAGTACCTGACACCAAGGAGGTGCTCCAGAAACTATTGTCAAATAAATTAGTGGGCTCATCACCATCAGACGTGCAAAATTCCTGCTTATTAGATTTTTTTTTTTTTTGGTAAAAGAAAGATGAATGACTAAGCTTGATTTCTTCTATCTCCTCTTTCACTCTTACCCCATCTCCCTCTGGTACAACCTTATCTTTTTGTCTGAAAACAGAAATGAGTTACTTGTAATTGGAGTCTGTAGGAGTCCATCTGCTAGAGCCCTGAGGGAGAGACATCCTGTTCCACCTAGCAAGATAAACACATCCTACCACCAAGGAACTCTCAGAAGGTAGTGTTAGCAAGACTGAATCCATTTTTCACTGTGGAAGTTCAGCTTTTCTCAATCCTAACCTTTTATTTGTATTCAAAAATAAGTGCAGCAACACATGTCCGAATGGTCTAGGGATTCACATCCCAAGGGCACAGCCGAGATTGCAATCTCCCTCACCATCAAATCTGTGCTGAGGCCCTTAGCAACCCCGTAATGGGAGCGAACAACACTGACTGGAGTCCTCTGGTGAACACAGGAGCGTTAAGCTGGACATCCTTACCAGGAGTAACAGAGACTCTGCTTCCTTGGCCAAATTGTATCCCAGAAGCAGCACGTTCATACCACTCTCAGAGTCTCCTTTACAGAAATCCTTAAGCTTTTTTCCCCTATTAAGGGATATGATAACCCTTCTTAGAGCACAATGGGGATGAAGAAAGGTGGTCTCTAGGTTATGAGCTGTCCACAAAAAGGGCTTGCCCCTCTGGTTTGAGTTTCTGTGTGTGTGTGTGTGTGTGTGTGTGTGTGTGTGTGTGGTGGGGGCATACTTCTTGGTGCTCAGAGCTTACTCTGGCTCTGTGTTCAGGGATCATTCCTGGCCGAGCTCAGGAGTAACCACATGGGGTATGTGGGGATCGAACCATGTGCAAGGCAAGCACCCTACCTGCCGTATTATCTCCCCGGCCCTTGATTTGTGTTTCTAGGTTGAATTTCCATTTTCCCCACCATTGGGTCTGGTCCTAAGTCTGTGTTCTCTTGCAGGCCCTACTTCCCCATTTGTCTGTGGTTTAAGAAGATACTTTTGCCTTTCTCTCCAACTTTATTATCAAATGTCTCAGGTATTGCATAGACCAAAATGTTTTGCTTTTTTCATTCTCAAGACCATGACTTCTATTTATATTCCTGGAATTCCCCTTTAATCATTTGTCTGTGTGCATGTGTGTATGTGTGTGTTATATGATATTTTGGCCTCCTGAGAAATGCCCAGGGCCCAGGATCATTCCCAGTGACCAGGTGGGGAATGGGTCAGTGTGAGAAACTGGCAGTGCTGTGCTTCTTTGGTCTTGTGATATTGAGGCCACATGGTGCTGAAGATCAAACCGACCCCTGAGCTAGCTCCCCTACCTGCCCACAAGGATCTTATGAATCCTCCAGGCTTAGCCAGTCCTTTCTACTGCATGAACTTTCCACATCTGGCTCAATTTCCTG